AATTATTTTCCTGAAACAACTAATCATCGTAAGAAAGGAAAGTGACAACACATATTATAGATTTTATATTTTGACACAGACATGTGTCATTCTAGAACAAGAAAAATTATCCTGCGATATTGTAAGAAAATACCCAAACTTGGATACAAAACATGAAAAATTTAATATGGTTCTTGTAAATGTATTTCAACTTTTTCATTGTAAAGTATACTTTACACCAAAGGATGAGTCTTTCTAACCCACAAATCAAGCACACCAATCGTGAAAAAGAAAACTCCCAAATCTCTACTCGCCACTCAATATTTCACTTGTTTTTTTTAATTCACTGATTGGTTGCATGGTTCAATCCGAATTCATTACGTGTTTATTTCATTGTTAAACCATTTTCAGACAATGGAGGACACTAAATTTCAGAATTTCTTGCTTATAAAAGTAAATTTTTGTCCACCTCATATTCAACAATCGTGGAAAGTATTTCATCTTAGAAAGCTAGAACCTCTTGCCATCAGGCTAAGAAAACTAGCTCTTAAACAGAAGACGAGTGCACTGCCAATTCAGTTTCAGTTGCAAAAATGTAAAGAACAGAACAGAACACGAACTTTGATCGCTTGCGACTTTTGTGATCAAAACTATAAGAGCTGCATTGGTGATAATCACAGCGACACAGTTTTGACAGACTTTGAATGATAGTATGATGGTAAGAAAAATTCAAACTACAGAGAGGGATAGTGGAATCAAACATAATCGTTTTACCAATTCAAACTTGGTTTTTATATGTGGTAATCTTAGATTATATAATTCCTCTACAATTATCAGCTAGTTAGACTCGCTAATAACAGCAGATTCAATCAGGAAATAAGCGGATTATGTGTTTAGTAACTGGACTGAGTTTCCTTAGTGTGTGAAATAATGAGAGTGGAAAAGCTTAACAAAACGAACACAATTTTTATTACAAAACAATGATTAGATTTCCAGAACGACAACATATACTGTAGATTTGATATTTTGCCACAGGAAATTGTTTTACAAAAAATAAATGTAACACAGACCGTCAAACAAAATAAGACTCGAGAATTAATATAAACATGAAATAATATTTTTGTTCCTTACACGTAAACAATGAAGATGTTGGGGGGTCTCACTTTATATTGTTACTGGCCAACCTTTGACTAGATAGCTGACTTCTGGAGCTAGAATTTTAGACCATAAGGCTTTAAAGAATTGTACTCTCT